AAAGTGATCCAAGTGCAGAACGACTTCTCCACGCGACTCAGAACAAGCGATCGAAGTATAATCTGGAACTCGGATCTCGTGGAGACGTTGGAGTTGAGGAATCTGCTGACGTGCGCGGCGCAGACGGCCAAGGCGGCGTTGTGTAGGACGGAGAGTCGGGGGAGTCATGCGAGGGAGGATTTCCCGGAGAGGAACGATGAGAGGTGGTTGAGGCATAGTTGGACGTGGCAGAAGGATGAGAAGGAGGAAGGGGTTAGGGTGGGGTATCGGGGAGTGATTATGGAGACGTTGGATGAGGGGGATTGTAAGAGTGTGCCGCCGGTGAAGAGGAGCTACTAGGGATCCCCCATTGGGTAGTTTGTTCGGCAAGTGTTGAGGTGACCCTGGGAGAGAATGGGTCATAGAGAGGACTGGCGTGTTACTTGTCGCATGTAGTCGAATGCACGGTACGGGCCGCGGATGCAGAAACAGACCCGGTATGTTGGCCGATGTATAGACTTGGATAGTGGACCCGCTTCTGGGGTGCACCTGCATAGCTGCTCGCCAGCCAGTCCGGCACTGTTGCTTATGCCCAGAGACGGCCTTTTCTGGGCGATGGTGGCAAATCTTATCGTGGGAAGAGAGGCAGAGAAGGGAGGGGTAGAGGACATGATGATCCTGAGGCCCCCAGTTTCCGAGTATAAACCCCCCCCTCTTTCCCTCCTCTCCCATCATCTCCTCCAGTTTATTTACATACCCCTGAAATTTGTCTAGCTAGAAGTACCAACAGACCCTCTACATGATTACTCTCTTTGCGGAGGAATCAGTCCTACGTATGTAGTGAACGCCGAAGCACTAATCATAAATTATCATATATTAGAGTAGTACATGATCGTTCACTCAGTGAAGATCCTTGCAAACACCCTCAATTTCACTGTATCATGCACTCATATTCTACCCCGTAATTAGAGCGCGGAAAATCGCACCAAACGCCGAAAACTTCGCGAATCAACATACCCATCCGTACTCCGTGTCGAAAGCAACGGTTTCATCGTACACGCACATGAAACCTGGAGTGCTCACAGACAGATACATCCCGCTTAGCCACTGGTGGCAAGGTGGTCAAGCTTGTACAAGGGCTCCAAGTGGACGTCGCGCCGGAAGATGTAGCGGTTGATCCACCAGGGAAGCACCTGAAACATCTGGTAACGCATATGCATCCGAGTCGGGACTCCGAAGATGTAGTCAAGTTCTTCCAAAGTCCGCTGCTTAGTCTCAGGGACCCACAGGAAGATCATAACAAAGGCAGTCACGTTCAGTGCCCTGAAAAAAGTTAGAGTGGCTGCAGAAAAGGCCGAGGTGGGCATAATCAGATAATTTTATGACTTACGCGTAGAAGCCAAAGGCACCAGTTGGAGTCATAACGGCCAACATGCGGGGGAAGGTGATTGAAAGTACCGCAGCCCAGCCGAGACAAACTGCCACAGCCCAAGCCATTCCGACCTCTGCTTTCGTTAGCCTGATTGTGACTTGAGTACCAGAGATTCACACTTACCACGATGAGACAGAGGGAAGACTTCTGCGGAGTAAGTGAACGGGACTGGTCCCTCGCCGGGAGAGTAGAAAGCCGCGAACATGAAGACAAAGAGAGCAATGCATGCCAGATGCGCCGTCTGCTCCTTGGGGATGTAGAAACAGAAGCCCGCGGCCAGCAGAGTCCAAGCCATCTGGGGGAACGTGAACAAGAGCAGAGCGCGACGGCCATAAGTGTCAATGGTAAACACCGCGGGGAATGCAAAGATAAAGTTTACAAGCCCGAAACCCCAGGAGGCAAACAGTGCTTCCGTAACGTTGGCTCCTGCCTGCTGGAAGACAGTCGAGGAATAAAAGGCAACGATATTGATTCCACACATCTGCTGTGCAATCATCACGACGAAGGAAGCAAGGGTTGCACGGCGGATACGGGGAATGGTAAACAACTCGACAAATCGGGTGGCATAGTTGCTCACTCCAGCAATATCCTGCTCAACCTTGATCTGTGCGTAGATGTAGTAAAGATCACGCGCGGCCTGCAGCTGGGTGTTGCGCAAGCGGCACAAAGACTGGTAAGCGTTACGCATCTTTTCCTTCTTGATGTACCAGCGAGGCGACTCTGGACACATGAAGACACCAATCAGCAAAGGAAGCGCTGGAATAAAGGCAGAACCGAGCTGGAGTCTCCAGGAGATATCCCCAGTGTCTTTGACAGCAAGGTTCGCGGAAGTCCCAAGGAAGATACCAAAGGCGGTCCACAACTGCCAGCACATAACGAGACCTCCACGAACAGAAGCCGGGGTATTTTCTGCACAGAACATTGGGATTGTAGACGCCTTCAAGCCCATTCCCAAGCCCAGCAGCAGACGAGTCACGAACAGCTGAGGCCAGGTCTGACTAACGGCCGATCCAATAGGAGCAAGAAGGCAGAAGATGGCAGACATGAAAATAGCGCCACGGCGACCCAGATATTTGTTCAGTGGGTCGGACAGCCAGCATCCGATGACAGCGCTAGACATGTATGGAGCCCTATTCAAGAACATTAGTCTCACGGTGATCTTCACAGGATACGGGGACAAGGGCTGCGCACGCATTGACGACACCGACAAGCCACTGGTTTCTCGACGCGTTTGGACCATCCTCAGGGATTCCAAGCGCAACAGGGAACGAGAGGTTGGCGCCTAGATGATAGATTAAGCTTAGCGAGGACTGCTATACTCAAGTTTCAGGGCACACTTACCATTACTTCCGGTTTGATCCCAACCCCTGGCGGGAATATCAGCAAAACAGCTCAAACCCACCGTTCAATTTGTACTGAAAAAAAGCAAAAGTCTCGGGCGTGATACTCACTGGACAGCAGCTCCGACGGAGCAGAGAATGATGGTGAAGTAGAGAGCCTTAGGCTGACGCCACTTATGATCTTTCTCATCACGAATGGCAGTGATCTCATCACTAGTCATATCGGGCACTGCCTGAAAGTCTTCGGGATCGCGTGCCACAAGGGCTCCCTTTTTGAGCAAGGGGAGAATATCAGTCAACTGATATTCAGTGGCAAAGTCCTCGACATCTTGGACCACTTGAGCTGGGCTCAGATCCGCCAGGGGATTCTTGATTCTATCATGGAATTGGTTATTGGAAACACGACAGAGACACCAAGACCGGATGAAGTAACTTACTTGGCAGAAGTATTCTTGTTCAGATTAATGTGCTCCGTAGTGCCCTTCTCAGTAACATCGGGCTCATTGTGACTGCCGCTGACGCAAAGAAAGTGAGTATACATGACGAAGAAAGAAAAGGTAAACTTGAAAGACACATACTAGGGGTCAACAGCAGAGTCAACCGCCTGAATCGGGGTCACCTCCTCCTTTGCCATGGTGTTTACCTGGCTTAGGATGAAGAAAAGCGCGTGTGGATCAAGTGCTTGCACAAGTTAGAGTACAGAGAATCACTAGCCACAATGATGTGAGTGATAAGAAGAACAGGGCGCGTCAAAGCCGCGGCGTGGGGAAGTACGGGGATGAGAAAGAATGCACAACAGATGCGGGGTGAGATGGAGATGAAGTTAGGAAGGCGGAGGGGATTAAAAGACTTGAGGTAAGAAGGTGCGAGGGGAAGTGAATTAAGAGCGCACTGTTGGGAATAGTCGGGTTGAGCCCTGAACAAAGAGGCGAGGTCCGGTTGCATTCACTTCACCCTCCGGCTGCAGGAGGCTCTTACCAAGATGGAAGTATTGTGCGGTACTGTGATGCCTCCATTCTTCCCCGCGGGGGTCCTGAACCCGGGGTAGAAGATCTAGTGGCAATCCAATCAGACATGTGAACAGATGTAATTGATAGTACAAGTATTATCTGAGAGCATAAGCCCCTTTCTTTCAACAAACTCATTGGAACTGGCACATGGCCATTATATCTGAAGCTAACTGGAACTACATCTCCTTGATAATGTAGCTATTTCCTCACTTCGGCGCACAAATGCCCAGTGTATGGTAACAGGGCACTGCGGACGCAAGTATTCTCATCATAGTCAGATCTAACATGGTCCTGTTCGTCTGACATCTGGAACTACCACAACTTAGACTACTCCGGACATTCATTCCGGGCGAAAATAACCTTTGCCAAAGAGGACTTTCCAAGAAATCGAGGCAACCATGGTACAGGCAGGTGACAGATGGCCAGATAGACTGATAATGAGGGCTTGCACGGAATTGGATTTTGCACCCCTCCAACCTATGAGGAAATGCGTGGTTGTGGAGGTGGGCTAGTCTAAGTCTGCTGACTTCAGCATAGGTACACTGGTCTTCATTGTCACCTTGTAAGCTCTGACCGGTGGGGAAGAGTAGCATATGTACAGACTATGGCTGAGAACATTGATCCGCATGCAAATGTTCAAAGAAAGCTAATGCAATGCTAGTTGCATCAAATGATGTTCTTTGGAGCTTCCATTATCCCTGACCACGACCAATTCTTTCAACTGTCCAGAAAACCTTATCGTATGAATGGAATTTAGATGGTTACCATCAAGGAAAGCCTAAATTGGACCAGACGCACCCGTACGTGGCAATCTTGCCCCTTGTAATTAGGCCTGCCTGTTTACTTTCTCTAGTTTCTTCTCGTTTGCACCCTTATGGTTCCACTTGGCTAGTGTAGGCATCGCATTGTAACGCCGTCAACGCCACCGTGGAGTTCGGGAGCCAAGTGTTGACAATTAGAGCGATGCCGGCTGGCAAATGTTGAGCCCAATGCAGATTGGTGGGCGCATTTATTGGCCACCTGCAGCGGGGGAAGGGAACGGACTGCCACTACTGCTAAATTCTTTCCTGGATTTAGAGTTAATTGAGAAGCGATTGGGCATTGGTGCCCTTGGTTTTAGAGGACTCGACAAGTGGAGCCACACAAGGCAGGTAACATGAGCAATTTAGTCGCTGTCTGAGCCAGTCTGTTCTCACAGAACCAGCCTGCCATTTCTATAGGAGCACTGTTTACGTACTTATTCCATATTCACGGAGATTTTCTGGCCACACTCCATTCACCCTTGCGTCATGCTCACGTGGAGTTGAGAGTTTATCGAGATAAATGGGGAAAAGCAACAGCGGCCAACTTTTTCACCCGAGTGTATAACCTTTTCTTTTCAAAAACACCCTGGCCCTTGGTTGATTTACAAAGACGGTAAACCACGCAACTAGCCGATTCGATCAGCAGGTGTAACCGGACGGAGTAATATTGGGTCAGGGGCGGAGCGAGGGTCATCTTGAAAGGAGTCGAGCCCAGTCAGCGAGTTTCTTTTGCCACTCAGGATCCGAATGCTAACGTCCATAGTCCAAACTTGTCATCGATTATAGTTGGATTGGCTACTGCCTGTGAAGGCAAATATTATTGCCAAGCTATACCCCGACTTCCTGTGTTGTTCTCAACAGGTGACCAAACCCGCTCGTTGACAAGGCGGGTCGAGGGTTCGATCTGGGGTTACAGCACCATGTGGGGATGAAAGGGATGAAGGGGTCTCGGCCGGAGGTTTGACTGGACAAAGCCTGGATTAGGCTTAGTTAGGCTCGAGAACGGCACCCAACGACCCTCCAATAAGCTGGCCCGCGCATCCTTTTGCCATGCTGGATCCAGACTTTACCTGTCTTCCCAGCCGCCTGTCCTGGCCACCTGCCTTGGATGACCCGCTCAATACGACACGGCCCGGGCAACAGCCTGGAAGTCGGGGGCTGGCGTCTGGGCCTCCCTCCAGGTAGCTTCCGCTTTAGCCTTACCCGGACATCGATATTCTTGATGTAGGTCGAGCTATAAGTGATGGCGGAGGTGGGATTCCAAGAGCGCATGCGTCGGATACTTGAAAGGAGACCCCAGCCTGTCTGATTATGTCTGATTATATGGAAATCATGCCATAATATTGAAGGTACAAGCCAAGTAATGGGTAGCGCACAGCGAAAAGCTGAGTCGGGATCTGATCCCAAATCACGCACTTCAGACGACTCGACTAGTCAGTTTTCGTATTAAGCTGCTGTAGCCTCGACCAGGGTCTGCGCAGCTTTCCTCGGAAGGGACCATGCGACGTCAATTCCTACGATTCCCGATTTTAAGATCCCAAACTGTAGCTGAGGTAGGGTTGCCTGCTTACTCTAACCAATATATTCGCCGTTACTCTAATAAGTTCTGCGTCCGCAACTCTGAGGGTTATGTCTATATCATTGCAGATCGAGACAAACTGGCGGGCGGCTATTGACCCTAGTAGTAGCGGTCTGCCATGACGTTAGTACTACATTGAACCCCGCTGGTTATCATCATATCGGACCATCTTTTATAGTGCACTACGGAGTCGGAAAACAATGTAACCCCCCATCAGGATATAAGCACCGGTTGAAGGCGCTGCATCGAATCTGGACCTCGGAACTAAGACTGCTGTGACAGTAATCAAATGTGCGCAGGCTAATACGTACTTTCCCTTACACTAAGTTACGCTGATAACTTGCTATTTATGGCCATACTTCAGGCTCTCTCTTTCACTCTTGTTAGACAAAATTAACGATTTCTTTTCGTTCATCCCCGTGGACTTGCTAAGGAGTGAACCTCACAGATTACCGTAAATGGTTAGAACACATATGCGGGGAATCAGAAGTCACGTGTGAGTAGCAATCAGAGCCCCGGTTCCGAGATGGCCGACCGATGTGTGATATCAATCTTCTGTCGAAGGCCAATGCCTTGGGAATACCCTTATTCATGTCTTAACGGTGTGACAATGTTTCTTTCAAGATTGATATGATATGGAATTCTTACAACAGGCGCCCCCGTCTGTGCAGGACCTCTTGCGCGCTGGAGAGCCGTTCATCCCGTTTTCCGAGTATTCTGTTCAAGACATCACTCATCTGTCAGAAGATGAAACCACAAGATGGGTGGAGACAAAACTCCGCGATGGGAAGCCATTTGTAATACGTGGCTTTTCTCGATTGAAAGAATGGGACAGGTCGGTTCTGAACAATGAGAGACTAGGCAGCCTCTCTTCCTCAGCAGGTATGCCCACGACATAACAGCCTGAAAAGTGTAGCCGTTGACATCTTTACGCATGGACAGCGATACCGGTAAGGAACTGCCACACTGGGCGAGATGCGAAAATGCGGCTCCAAGATCTCCTTTCGCAGACAGAATTTGCTCGTACCGGCAATGTCCGAGAGTTGTACGTTAATATGATCACTGTTCCGAGCGTCGGCCTCTTAAAACTGATAGACAAGCCAGTTTGTACGCAAAAGACCTCCAGTGCCCACAGGAATGGATCAAGGCATTAGATGCATTCCTTCCTTCAGCTATGAGACATCTTGGGTCTCTTGACTTATTCCGGACGTTGCCAAAGGAGATAGCTCCGGAGGTGCTGATGGCGTATGTTGGGACTCGGAAATCTTCGTGAGTCTCTGCTGCCTTCCATACACCTATGTCCACTAACCATGTCATAATGGGGTAGTTCAGGATTTCACAGATGTTTTAGCGGAACAGTCGCGCTGAATCTATTAGTTGAATCAGAAGGTAAACGCATGACGAGACATATTTGACGTTCTCGACAAACGTTCTGATGATCGGGTTAGGTGCTGGCCCTGGGTCCATCTGCTTTGGCACCGATAAACACTCACAGGCCGTATACGATACATATATGGAGAGATTGGGAAAGTCTCCCCATACCGATTGGACCGACGTTTCTACTACCCAGCTCAAGTCCGCCAATTTACCTATATACATTACCCATCAGCAACCTGGAGACTTGGTAATATTTCCTTCAGCTACTGCCCATCAAATTTGGAATATCAGTCCAATGGTTACAAAGGTAGTCTGGAATGTTATGCATAGCTCTTCGCTTGTCTCTTTCTTCGACTACATCCAGCCATTCTACCAGCGATACTGCCATGCAGACACTGGCCGAGTCCCTCTAATCCCGTTGCATGCTTTGATCCGAGGGTCTCTAGGAACTGAGGACGAAGCTCTTCTCCTGGACGTCTTTCTCAAACTGCTGGATGATGAAGCTATTGAGACTGACTCGGTCCCTCCAATGAAGACCGTGGATACCCAGGGGGCCGTGATAGAATGTAATTTCTGCGGCTTGACAATATGGAATCGGCATCTGCACTGCGAGCAGTGCGGCGACTTTGACTTATGTCTGACGTGCTTTATCTCTGGACGCAGCTGCAAACACGTTGCTGACTATACATGGGCCGAACTCATTCCGCGTGCCTACTGCATGGAGGTTATTCAGTCGACTCGGAACAGACTGCGTGATCGATTACTCTCCCGAATCAAACATCCAAAGTATGACCTTTCCCTTCAAGCATACGGGCCCTATCACCCTCAAAACCTGTGCCTTGGTCCCGTGTCAAGAGTCTTATGATAAATCATGTGATCAAGAGTGTGCCTCTAATTCTACCTTTTCCAGGCAAAAGTCTCTGGGCGCCTTGGCTGCTGCCGCGGCAGATGCACGGAAACAACCGATGATGGTACGGAATAACCCCAGTATCTCTGTTTAGCTTGGCATTGAAGGGGCGCGAGCTAAATAAATCAGGAGCGACTCTGTCACTTGTGCCGTGATAGTCATCCTGCCTGGAAAGGGGTGGCATGTACCCAATGCTCCGCATTCTTTTGCTTCCGGGGCCTCCATCGACACTTTGACGTGGATTTGATACCCTTTCTGAGGAACACAGATCCATGGGTATGTCCAAAGTGCTCCCATTTCTGTAATTGCCGATGCTGCCACTTCCCTCTTCCTTACTCTAGCAAAGACAAGCCTGCGCGGTCTCGGATTAAGTCGATTGATCCTCGCGGTCGAATCATGGGGTTCACCGACAACGTATTCGATCAAAAACGAGGCAAAAGAGCTAGTATGGCTACTCATAGCGCATCCCTCCCGCCTGAAGTGCCTTCCCGGGTACATAAACGACCGAGAACCCAGGTTAGTGATGAAGAGGTGGAACTACCACGACAGCAGGAAGACTATAGTACTTTCACAAACCGTGGTATGATACAGTCGCAAAGTACAGAGGATACTATACACTCAAACGCTCGTCCCTATGTCATGTCCTCACGGAGTATAGGCCCGAAAGGGCAGCTCCGTATCAGTGATCTCGTTGAGGAACATAGCCCTGCTGAAGCTGAGCCTTCCTTTCAGGCTCCCTTTAGGCATGCATCTCCTCTACTTTCCCTGACGCCAGGAGATGGCGCATTCCGACGGCCGACCAATGAGCCGAGTGTTCCAGCCACTACAGATGAAGCCAGTATCTCTTTTCTTGAAAGGAAATTGGAAGAGCTCCGTCGATATGCCGATGAACTTCTGGATCTTTCCCTGGTGGACTCACATGCGAAGGTTCAGGAGAAAATCATTCAGTTGCAGGGTCAGATCGAAGAGCGCAAGCGACGGAAAGCGGAGGCGCTGTTCGACAGCCTCGATCGGGATTTCCCAGAACTTGCCACCGTTGCGAGAGAGGAAGCGCGAAGACGAGGATTGTAAACCGGAATCTAGCTTACATATAGAGTACTAATGGGCGTGAAGAGCACCGCCGATAAACACTGGTCCGCTGGTCCAAAACAAAACACGGAAGTTAGTAGTTGTAGGCTAGGAGTGTAGGTAAGAGGCAGGATGTATAAAACCCTGAGACATCCTTGAGAAAGACCAGGAAGTACCCCTGTAAGAAGAGATCTTCAGCAAATAACAAAAGTTCACCAATGACTCGCAGACACATTGAATTTTGGGCTGCGTGAGTGAGGCCCCTGGAAGGAAGAGGACAAGGCGCCCGACACCAGAGCAGCGGAAGCGATCCAGGGAAGCAGGCGGAGTTCCAGCCGGCGTCGATCGTCACCTCCACTTCTCCCTCGTCCTCCCACATCACTCCGGACTTTCCCTCCCTTTCTTCCATCCCGGATTCAGTCCAGTCTTGCTCCTCGTATCTTGATCGGCTCGAAAGCTTGTCTTGACTCCTCTTACTGCAGCAATCAACACTCTTATTTCTTGTTGCCTTACTTCCTTTTTGTTGAACCTAGCCTGGTATGTTTCATGTTTGTTAGCTCATTGTTGGCGCCCTCTAGCAACGCTTCCCCTCCCTCTCACTCTGCGCAACTGGCGGGCCTACCTGGATTTCGCGCAGACGAAGGGACCCGTCGATTGACTCACTCCGGCGAACACATCGCTTTCTTGGAATTGACAAGCCCCATAGGCCTCGTCCTTGGCCGTGAATCGGTCATCCCACCCCCCGACGAGGGCTGTCGGTAGCAGGCCAAACACACTACGAACCCTGACCGCCTCCACCACCCACAACTAGCTCTCCTAGGGACGATTCCACGCACTCTCGCCCTCCCTCTCTTGCCTCTCCGTTCTTTCACTTCCAGCTGGGTGAAACGCTAGCTTCGAATTTACTTACACAACACCTCTCATCGCCGCGATCCGCATCCCTGCCCCGCCATGCCCTGTTTCAAGGGTCTCGCCGTGAGTATACACACTCCGGACGGACCTATCTCCGAATACTCCATTCAACGCCAGTCCCGGGCGTCTCGCATAGCTTGCTACATCCCCGTGCCACCACCCAAGATCCCTGAATCCGGATCCGGACGCCCTGAGCAGTCAACGTTCGCTATCTCCATCACCCTTCTCAACCCCGGCCAAGACGTCCCATACTCCGCCCCGAAACCGACCCCCGACAACCCCGCACCCAAGCCGAAGGTAGTTGGTGGGCTACCCGGGACCACCGGGGAGCGTGGCCAGTACAGCAGCACGGTTGCTCCGTACCAAGCATTGACTAATTCGCCAAATGAAACGGTCGCCGCCTATATCTACTTTGATGGCCGGGCCAAGGAGGAAGTGGCCACACTGCTGCGGAGAGGTGAAGAAACGTGGGTCAACTCTCGATGGGTTAGCGTACCGGTATCAGAGGGCGGAGGTCTCGCTGAACGGGAGTTTCTCTTCCGCGAAGTCGGATTAGAAAGATGGCTGAACGGCTTGGACTTGGAGGGTAAAGACGCTGCCGCCAAGATCGAGCGCCGACGACAAAAAATGGAGAAGCGCCGAATCAAGCGGGAAGCAACTGGAGATTTGCAGATGGACGCAAAGTCGGGCAAAGGAGTCATGCGCTATGGCAACGATGCAAAGTCCCCGCTAGAAGATGTTTCGGACGACATGTCGTTCTCCGATTCGGACGATGACCCGATCCCCGAGTCTGCGGGTCAGATCAAGGTGGCTTTGTTCCGTGTCCTGGCATCTGGGGAGATTAAGCGCGGAGAGTACTCACCACAGTTCGATGCTCATGACGATGATGATGAAGCCCAGGGCGAGAATGGACATAAAGGGTCAGCTGATGCGGACATTGATCACACAACGAGCTTTGCGAAGCCAAAGACGCTCGATCCTAAGACGATTAGCACGCAGACCGTGACAGGCATCGACCCGTCCGACAAACCTTACGCCACCTTCACATTCATGTACCGTGGCGAGCGTGGGTTTATCCCCTCTGGTTTTCTGTAGAGTCATCGACTGACTAGGACACAGGTCAATTGCAAAAGATGGGAATTCTGAGAGACCCCAAGGCGCAAGAAACTCCCGGGTCCGCCAAGCGTCGGTCCTTGCAGCCAGACTTCGCCAATCTCGGTCCCCTGAAACCCGGCGGCACGGTCGGATTTGTGAATTTCCGCGACAGCACAGAAAGAAAGAAAGGCAAGAAGTCTGGTGAGGATGACGAGATGGACAGTGAAGATGATGAAGACAATTCGATTCTCGGTAAAGCAGATGAAGAGGAGGGCAAAGAAGATGATCTTCATTTGTCTCCGGACGATATCCGACGGCAAGGGGAGCTCGCGGAAAGCATACGCAAAATAAAGGTACGTCAAGAACTGATACTAGTGTCTCTACCACCGACTAACTGTTGTATACAGCTTAAACGTCAGCATTCGTCTGCCTCGTTAGCTACGAATACACCTCCGGCCGAAAGTGCGAGCCCCAAGACAGCCGGGGACACGCCTGCGACCAACGATCCGTCTACTACCCCGCCCGCTGTTGCTGCGGCTACGGCCGCTGAAACCCCCAAGCCAGCCGCTAACCCGCTGAACGGAGGATTCATCGGCAGTCCGTTGAAGAAGCAGCGGGCGAGCGTCTCACATTCAGATGAAGACGCCATGCGCCGACGAATGGAGTCGGGACTTTCCCAAGAGATTACAAATGTTGGCCCAGGTGACAGTACCAAGGCAACCAACCCTCTTGAGACACACCCGCAAAAACCCCAGGAGACCGAAGATGAGGAACTGTAACCGGTTGCTTCAACTCCCATCATCCATGCCCATATTCAGCGATACAGATGTCTACCCACAATTTTTTTCATCCTCCTCTTTCTTTTTCTTCACCTCAGACGCCACGATGGACTGGTGCCAGACGGCGCGCTAGCCAGCTGCGTCAGACCGCAGCACCATCTGCACTCTGATTTGATCTTTTTTCAATTCTTATTTACCATTCTAACTACAGCTGACATCTACTGTTTGGATATGGTCCATTTCTGACGGAATCATCATGACTAAGTAGTTTTACCCTTCTTCATTTCCATATCCATCTCTCTCAGTTCTGTGGGCGGCTGGGTAATTGATTCTCTAGCTAGAACGGGGGACAGGCGAAGGTAACTGATATAGACGCAATGAGTCACGCAAGTTGCATTTAACGATTTGTGCTACGTTCTTGGATCCGGTTCGTACCTGTAAAGCCTAATGAAGGAGACGTAGGATGTAGTCGGCTTGGATGGCAGTCATAGCGTGGATTACGCTGCTGTGGGAGCTCCCTACCGTGGTCCGTTTCGAGTGGAGAGCCGCTCCCCGCCGACCAAAAATCTTTCCCTCCTTCATGTTGAGACCAATACCACCTCATGCCAACGCCTGCATCCAATTCTTGCTGATTGTCTGAAGGAGTCCCAGGAGATATTTTACTTACCGCTTCCAAGAGCCATGCCATTGACACGTTCCTCCGATCCCCTGGTGTGGATTGATTGCGAGGTGCGGCATTCCTGTGCTTCTACCCCTCTACCAGCCGCGACTGACGAACTCCAACCTTTTCGATCGGCGTGTAGATGACCGGCCTTGACCCGGACACCGACCAGATCCTCCAAATCTGCTGCTACATCACCGATGCCAACCTGAACCTCCTCGAACCCCAGGGCTTCGAAACCGTCATCCACCACCCGACCTCAGACCTAGAAAACATGAACGCATGGTGCATCGAGACCCACGGTCGCACAGGGCTGACGGCGGCCGTGCAGGCCTCGACCACCACCGCGGAGGAGGCTGCGACGGCTCTTTTGGCCTATATCCAGAAATACGTGCCACAGCCCCGGCGAGGACTGCTGGCGGGGAACAGTGTCCACGCCGACAAGGCGTTTCTGGCCAAGGGACCATACCAGGCGGTGCTAGAATGGCTACACTATCGGATCGTGGACGTGAGTGCACTCAAGGAAATGGTACGACGGTGGGGCTCAGACGAGCTACTAGAGTCCGTGCCAGGGAAGAAGGAGGTTCATCTTGCACGGGACGATATTCTGGAAAGCATCGAGGAGATGCGATTCTACCGGGGGCAACTGTTCGGATTGTAGCCGAATATGTCTGAGCGAGGGAAACGGACCCGAGAAGCTCTTCCCAAAAATCCCAACGTACACGAAAGCAAGCATAGAGAGGGGTAGAACCCCAATTACAATGTAGAACAGCTGGATGGATGCCCAATGGATCCGGGATTGCAGCAAGAATGGCCTGTTTTCCCCAGGTATCTGCAGCTCGAGTGTCGTAGTGTACAGTGTATCGCGATGGGGGGATCGAATGAAGCTCGGGCCTGAAGTCATCATGCTGACATGGGCCCCTCCTGGTGGGGTCCTGGCGTTGGGCGAAGACTCGCAAAGTCGAAGCTAATTGCCAGTCTATATTTACTTCCTCCCCGCTCGTGTCTCGCCGGCTTCCCTTCCATTCTTTGCCCCTCCCTTCTCCCTGCTCCTTTTCCTCCCCCTGTTTCTCTCGCTTCAATTGTCGGTGAGCTTCTCCTCCCGACGTTTCTATATCTTCCCGTCCATACCCCTCCAGCTTCCCCTCCCCTCCCTCTTTCTTTCTATCCATACCATCTCTATACCCTCCTCCCCACCATCTCTATACCCTCCTCCCCACCATGTCCGTTCAAACCGTCTCCATCACTCCCTTCGCCGACCAGAAGCCGGGAACGTAAGTACCTTGATTGTCTTTCCTTGCTTCCATGTCCTCTGGCTTTAAGTTATAAGTTGTCCTTTTATCTGACGACACCCAGCTCCGGTCTTCGTAAGAAGGTCAAGGTCTTCCAGCAGCCCAACTACTCCGAGTCCTTCGTCACTAGCATCATCCTCTCTATCCCCGAGGGTGCTGAGGGCGCTTTCCTCGTCATCGGTGGCGATGGCCGCTACTACAACACCGAGGTCATCCAGAAGATTGCCAAAATCGGTGCCGCTTATGGTGTCAAGAAGCTGCTGGTCGGCCATAATGGCATCCTCTCCACCCCCGCTGCCAGCAACCTCATCCGCAAGCGCAAGGCCACCGGTGGTATCCTCCTGACGGCCAGTCACAACCCTGGTGGTACGTAATCCAGCAATCAGGCACATGGACCCCACACTGACATTATGCTGCTACTCAGGCCCTGAGAACGACTTCGGTATCAAGTACAACCTTGCCAATGGCGCTCCCGCCCCCGAATCCGTCACCAACAAGATCTTCGAAACCTCCAAGTCCCTCACCTCCTACAAGTACATTGACATCCCCGATGTTGACACCACCACCATCGGCTCCAAGACCTACGGCCCCATCGAGGTTGAGGTCGTCCATTCCACCACCGACTACGTCACCATGATGAAGGAGATCTTCAACTTCGACCTCATCCGTGATTTCCTCAAGACCCACAAGGACTTCAAGGTGCTGTTCGATGGTATGCACGGTGTGACTGGCCCCTACGGTGTTGACATTTTCGTCAACGAGCTGGGCCTGCCCGCCAGCAGCACCATGAACTGCGAGCCCAAGCCCGACTTCGGCGGTGGCCACCCCGACCCCAACCTGGTCTACGCCCACGAGCTCGTCGAGAGCGTTGACAAGAATGGCATCCACTTCGGTGCTGCCAGTGACGGTGACGGTGACCGTAACATGATCTACGGTGCCAACACCTTCGTCTCTCCCGGTGACAGTCTGGCCATCATTGCCCACCACGCCAAGCTCATCCCCTACTTCCAGAAGCAGGGTGTCTACGGCCTGGCGCGCTCCATGCCCACCTCCGGTGCCGTCGACCGCGTGGCTAAGGCCCAGGGCCTGCAGAGCTACGAGGTGCCCACGGGCTGGAAGTTCTTCTGCAACCTGTTCGACAACCAGAAGATCTCCATCTGTGGTGAGGAGAGTTTCGGTACTGGCAGCAACCACATCCGCGAGAAGGACGGCCTTTGGGCTATCGTGGCCTGGCTGAACGTCATCGCTGGCGTTGCCAAGCAGAAGCCCAGCGAGACCCCCAGCATCGCTTCCATCCAGAACGAGTTCTGGCAGACCTACGGCCGTACCTTCTTCACCCGGTACGACTACGAGAATGTCGACAGCGACGGCGCCAACAAGGTGATCGCCACCCTGTCGGAGAAGGTTGACAACAAGGACACCTTCGTTGGCTCGACCGTGTCCGGCCGCAAGGTCGTCGACGTCGGCAACTTCGCCTACACCGACCTGGACGGCAGCGTGACCAAGAACCAGGGTCTGTACGTCAAGTTCGACGACGGCAGCCGCATCGTCGTCCGTCTGTCTGGAACTGGCAGCAGCGGCGCCACGATCCGTCTGTACATTGAGAAGTACGAGAGCGACGCCAGCAAGCTTGGCCTCGCCACGGACGAGTACCTGAAGGACAACGTGGCTCTGGCTCTGGAGCTGCTTAAGTTCAAGGAGTACATTGGCCGTGAGGAGCCTGATGTCCGCACATAAGCAAAGAGCATGATTGATGTTCATAGCGTTTTTTGAGTAGTTAATAAGGAATAATCAGTATATTTTTCTTTCATATAAACGTATCATCCTATCTTATCCTATTCTTCATCCTTAAGACAATCAACCATTATATAATTGAACCCTGTCCATAAACCCCAAACCAAAAAAGCATCATAAAACAGATCATTATCTCATAACATCATAACCAGTAATCCATCATCAAGCGCTACAAACCCACCCCCTTAACCTTACCTCCCCACCACTCTCCCCACTTAACCACCACCTCCTCCCTCCTGGCCTCCTCCGCTGCAAACACCACCGCATGACTCCTAACCGCCTCCTCCAAATCACACCCAACAAACCTCCTCTGCGCCTCCGCCACCCCCCACCCCTTATTAACCACCGCATCCACAGCATCCACAAAGCTCCTCGCCAGCCCATAATCCCCTCCGCCATGCGCCTTCTCCTCCTCCGCCGGCCTCTTCGGCACCGTAATCGTCGTAGTCTCTCTCGTCTGGAACGAGTAGATGGTGATCGTGCGACTATCGTAGCTGATTTCGCCCAGCGTGCCGTACACGCGGCCACGTCGCTCGCATTGCTTTTCGGTGGGGGCGATCATGTGGAATAGGGCGGTTTTGGGTAGGTCGGACGAGAAGGTTATCGTTACGGTTTGGTCGTCGCAGACGTTGTTGTCGGATTCGTAGACGCAGCGGCCGTACCACGGGCGGGAGTGGATGGGGTCGTTTTCGTCCGTCGTGGTGGTGGAGGTTTGGTCGTAGTCTTCGCGGAGACGGGTGAGAAGGTGAGATTGAGCGAGGGGGATGTGTTCGGTGGGGATGGGGTCAGATTTAGTGATTCTAGGGGTGGTGGTGGTTGCTTTGGGGAGGATATCTTCGATGTCTTCGCAGACGATGTTCACGGGCCAGTCTATGTCGCCTTTGGCGACGTGCATGTCGTTGTAGATTCGGACGGCGCTGTAGATGCAGTCTCGTTCTGCGGGGCAGGAGAGACAGTTTGTTGCAGTGCCTGCGGCGGGGGGTTTTTGGGATTTGCGGAATTGGGTTAAGGAGCCGGTGGAGGTGATGGTTCGGGGGTGGATGGGATGTTGTTGCGAGGTTGGGTCTGAGGAGGGAGGAGAAGGACTGGAGAGTAACCACATGATGAAGTCGATGTCGTGGCAGGATTTGGTAAGTAGGGAGCCGTCCCCGTTGGGGGTTTCTCGACGCCAGTTTCCGCGGACATAGCTGTGCGAGAAGTGCCAGAAGCCGACGGGTTCGGTGTGCTCGAGGGAGACGATGTCGCCGATGACGCGGTCGAGAAGGAGGAGTTTACGGAGGAGGATATTGTGGGGGCTGTAGCGGAGGACGTGGCCGATGGAGAAGATGTTGGTGGAGAGGTTAGGGGTGAGGGCACGGTAGACGGAGAGGCAGTCTTCTAGAGATAGGGCGAGAGGTTTCTCGCAGAGGATGTGGAGTTGGAGAGGGGCGATGGCGTGGAGGATCTCGACGTGGGTGGAGTCAAGGGTGCAGATGAAGACCCCATCGACACCGACCCGGGGGTCATTATTGGTTTCTCGGCGCTGTTGCTCCCATTGTAGCCAGGCGCGCCAGTCGGGGAATTCCTGGCCGTCTTGGGGAGTGCCGTGTTCGCCCCAGATGTAGGAGCGGCCGAGGTGACGGCGCTTGAAGGGGTGTGGTTCAGCGACCGCGTGGATGGTGCCTTGAGTAGCGGTGGTGACAGCACGGGCGTAGGCGGTGCCACGAGATCCAGCGCCAATTATGAGGAAGCGGAGAGGACGGGAGGAGGGGGGAGGATGGAGAGAAGTCGTTGGAATGACGGGTTCTTTCATGATGAGTTCGGGGAATGGAAGTGGAAGTAGGAGAGGGGCAATGAGGGGAGAATGAGGGGATATAGTATTGGGCAAATACAAACGCAAGGGATCGCCGGGTGCGGATGATAAAGCCGCGTCGCTGGTTGGTTGGTGGCATCTTATGTCATCGGCTGATAACGGGAATCACGACGCAGTAGGTTGCAATGAAAGGTAGAGTACCAAATTAGACTTGGCTAGTAGACATTATTCACATTGTAATTATCAGTATATTGGCACAAAGCCCTCACAAATGGCACGAACATGCAAAGAAAATGAATTGGGGTATCCATAAGAAACAGGCTAGCAAGTAGTACAGAATCCAGACATGATGACCATCGCCAGTCCGGGAACTCCACCCGGAAACCCTATGTATAACTCCTCCACGTATGTACAGAGCACCAGTATATACCCTCATCTCCCCGGAGAACCTTTCATATACTCTCCGTAAATCGACTGCCCCGGCTGCCATCGAAGCTCGGGTGGCTTCGCCCGAGCGCATCAGGCCGCTTGGGCATTGTCGGGGAGAGCGCTCCGACTTGCGAAACGACCCGTGGCCCGGTTGGCTCATTGGACAGACTGGCGTTGGCGGACCCGGTAACTGGTGTGCGGGCTGGCGATGGTCGAAACACCACAACACCTCCCACCTCCGCCGCTTCTCGAGTATAGTTGGTATCCAACGGCATGCCATACGGTGTCGCCACGGGCGGTTGTGTTGGCGGTGACCGTGGCTGAACTGGTGAGCTCGGAGAAAAAAGCGTGCTCGGTTCAGACGCAGTAGGGGATCCTGGTTCATATCCACCGCCGTAGCCGTCTCCTCCTGACTGCAACACTGAAGGAATTTTCCGGCCGGAGATCTTTTGGAACCCACGCTCGCTAGGCTCTGAGCTTAAAGTACTGTCTGTGCGCGTCGTCATGTGCGACTGGCG